GGCATGGCCTGCCGCACGCGGCCCTGGCGGAACAGCGAATCGAGCTGGCTCTTGATTTGGTCAGCGTCGCCAGAGGCGGTGAGGATGTCGGCTCGCTCGCTGAGCTTGAGGGTGGCGTGCCTCGGCCGCAGCTCGTGGACGAGGCGGAAGAGGTCCCGCAGCCGCTCGGGGACGCTCTCGGCTCTCGCGGTGTAGATGTCCTGGTCGCTGGCCACATCGTAACTGAACTCTCCGAAAGGTCCGATCTCGATGCTGAGGTCTTGCACTCTGGGGTACTGGCGGATGGTGTGGGGGGAGGGGAAGGCGACTGGCGCGGCCGCCTTGGTGCGAGGCAGGCTGAAGGACAGCGGTCTGTCATGGCGAATCGCCAAGGTCTGCAGCCCAAGTGAGAAGGACTCATTCCTGAGGAGGGATGTGCATTCGTATGTGCGTGTGTACCTTGAGTGGCTTTGCCTTGATGCCTTGCTGGATGTACGCGAGCACCTCTGAGGCCATGATGGCGCTGGCGTTCGGCCAGTCCATGTGGACGTGAGTGAGGGCGGGAAGTGAAGAGAGGAGGCGCGAGAGTCGGTTGGGCGTGGCGGGCGGGATCAGGTACTCGGGGTCGCACGTAGGGACATCATATGTGCCACTGCCATGGTAGTTGCCCAGGGAAACCTCTGTCACACTACTGAAGCCACACATGCACACACACGCCAAGAGAAAGAAATTGAGTCGAGCGCCTTCATGGCCTCCGTTATTGACCTCACTCACCTGAGTGAGTTGAGGGTGGCGTCCTCGGTCAGCCACAGGGGGATGCTGTTGAATGACTCAGCATCGACATCGGGGCCGTCGGTGGTCAGATCGATGTCCAGTCTCGTGGCGCCGTCGAACCTGATGCCGCTGAAATGCGGGCTGGTGGGATCGCCTGATCCAGCATCATCTCCAAACAATGACACCTCGTCGCCCCCTCCCGCGTGCCGTTTGATGGTCTCCACCAGCTTGAGGGTCTCGGCAGTTGGCGGGCCCTCGGTCGTCGCGCCGCGGCAATCTATGTAGGTCCCGCCTCCTTCCCTCACCACCTCCCAGCCCATCTCCTCTGCCGCCTGAATCGTCTGCACCGAGTCATTGGACCAGTTGTCTGGGTCGACCAGGTCACGGGCGACCTCAAGTCGGCAAATGACCTTGAGCTGGCGCTTCCTGGCGGCTCCCGACGGGGAGGGGGAGGGGAGGGGCGGAGGATCCGCACTCGCGCTGCTGGACGAGGCCGCCGCACTGCCACTGTGCAGCGACAGCTGGCGCAGGAGAGTCACCAGCTTGCTGGTCTCCGTGTTGTGTGCCACCCATTTGCTCCGCGACAGCGTGAGGTGGCCGACGTGGTGCAGGTTCTTAAGCGATGCGAGGGCAGCGGTGGTGAGGGGCACCACAGAGCTCTGGTCGTCGAGGGGGAGGCTGTGCACACGGCAGCAGAGGAGCGGGAAGATGTCCAGGTGGCTGAGGGATGGGGACGAGCCGAGCATGAACGCCAGACTGCCATCAAATGTGGCGCGCATGAATCCCCACTTGCCGAGAGGGAAGGTTGCGACGTGGTATTCCTCATACTCGGAGAGGACCTTGCCGGTGAGCCGCTCGAGCGCTGGGCAGACGAGCTTCTGCTGCTGGAAGAGATGCAGTCCGTCGAGGCTGTCCACCTCAATCGACCTGACCGAGGGAAACACAGCTTCGGGCCCCTTGACCTGCGCCACTGGCTGGTCGCTCGGCGCATCCTCCGCTCCATCGTCCGAATCGTCGTCTGCATCTCGTTCCGCCTTGGCTTGTGTCGTCTGGATGGCCTTGAGCGTGTCGGTGTGGTAAACCAGCTGCAGCGACACAAAGGCGAACAGCCGCGCCCGGCCGATCTTCTCGACCTCCCCCTCTCTGGGCAGCAGGATGATGGCGTGTTGCTGCTGCTCGAACGTCACCAGGCTGCCGCCCGGACCCCTGCAGCTGAGGCCGTGGTTGGGGCGGTGCCAGTTGATGACCCGGATCAGCGAATAGATGGCCCAGTAGAAGGCCCGACTGATGCAGCTCATCGCCAGGCGCTCCTTGACCGACTGGAATGACGCCACATTGAGCCAGGTATCGCCATCCAGAAGGCTCGTGAAGCTCCTCGGCGCGGCGCGGTTGGACGGGTCGTCACTCTGGGCTGGGGCGGCTGTGCGCGGGGCTTTGGCTGGCGGGTCGTCCATCTCAGCAAGCCCCAGAGATAGCGCTACGACGCTACAGCTACCTGCAACACTCAGAGACACAAGACGACTTGCCATGTGCACGGTGCTGCCTCTCCCATTCGCTTACGGGATCTGCGATAGAATGCAATGTATGGCGACTCCCCTCAGTGGCCGGGCTCCAAACGACTGGTTTCGGCGGGTGAATCGGAGCGCGGTTTGCTGTCCAGCCGCCCAAGGAGGATCTTTCCCTTTTCTTCTCTTCTCTCCCCTCCCAATCTGCGAGCTTAGCTGTGAGGAGGGAAGGAGTGGACCCTGCTTGGACCATCTGTGACTCTGACGGAGGGAATGAGGCGATGAGTTTTCAGCAATACGTTCGTTCGGCGCTGAGCTGAGGCTGCTGGCAGTGCTGCCATCGATGACCACCCCATAAATCAATCATGTCGTTCACAGGCAGCTCGTACACCAACGTGGGTGAGGGGTACGGTGGAGAGGCGGAGGACGGCTGTCGGGACATCGCTGAGACCGACGAATGGGGATTCGTGCCCAAACGAAGCGAAGTCGTCATGCTCGGCTCCGGGCCCTCCACAGGTCTGACAGCAAGCATCGCCTGACGCGGGCCCTCACGCCAGCAGGATGGCTTGCAAACAGTGGTTTTATCCTTGTGTGGTGTGTGTGCTACAGGTGTGCCGTGGTTGCGTTGTCTGACTGACCCGATGGACGGCCGGCCTTGTCGTGTGTGTCGTGAGGCGAGGCGGAATTCTCTGAGCAAGAACCGGCGGCGCAACCCCTCCATCCTGCTCAAGATACGCAAGAAGGCACACGAGATTGAGAAGGAGAACCGGGACACAGCCAATGGAGGAGAAGGTGAGTGGGTTTGGTGTGTCGGGAGGGTGCGATGGATGAGTCTAGAGCGCGGGTGCTGTGTGTGTGTTGTGTGGTTTCAGGTCCTGATGCGTTCCACATCATCCTGATTGACTGCGGCAAGAGCTTTCGCGACGCAGTGGAGACGTTCTTCCCGCTGCTGGCCGTCAAGTGAGGCCAAACATTGAGCACTCTTCCGCGACCATCGGGCTGATCATGTTTCCTGTCGTGTCTGTCATGTCAGGCGCATCGACGGCGTGGTCTTGACGCACGACCACGCGGATGCGGTGCTGGGCATCGATGACCTCAGAGACCTGCAGAGGTCAGACAGACAGCGGGGCGCCAACCATGGGGGCGTGGTTGATGCGTTGTGTGCCGTCGGTGTGTTGTGTTGTGTTCAGGTGCGAGAAGCGTGTGGATCCCGTGACGGGCCACTCCAACCTCGCCTCGACCAACGCCCTGCCCATCTGGGGCAGCTCACAGGTCACACACACACACACACAGGCATCCCATACAAAGCCATGAGCACGAAGGAGCCGAATGCACCACCGGTCACTTGGGGGCATCGATCGCTTCATGCGTTCAGACTGTCGAGCGTCTCTTCAACATGTACCCATACCTCTTCGCCCCCGACCAGCGCTCCCTCGTGCGACGGCACTCGCCATCCGTCTCATCGCCACAAGCACACAACCCAAGCAACCCCCGCGAAGCGCGCCTCGAGGCCATCCAGGAGGCCAACGGCAGCGCACCCCACGCCACACACAACGGAGCCCTGTCATCCCCCTCATCACACATTCCCCCCGTATCATCATCGCCCGACTTTAAGCGACTCGTGGAGAACAACGGCGCCGCCAACACGGTCAAGGAGTCGCTCCCTGCCTCCTCCCCACCCACCCCGCCACGCACGCCCTTGCCAGAGGGGCTGGGGCTGGGTCCGCTGCCTGCCCGGAGGAGGCCGGTGGGGCCGGCGAGGTACCACCACCACCCGCACCCGTTCGTCCCGCATCGGTCCACATCTGACTATGTGCATCCCTCCAAGACGGCCGGCGACTCGTACGCGTGCCACCGGTCTATGAGTTTGTCGATCAACTTCTTCATCCCCTCGCAGCCGCTGCTGTTCGACGACCCCCCCTCCCCCTCGGCACTCTCCACCAAGACCACCATGGCCGCCATTCCCGCGTCGGCGCAGAATGTGCGGCCGCAGAAGAACAGGTGGGCCGACGACAAGCCGGTCAAGAAGGTGCAGCGAGATCACAAGGCCGGCCTCAAGCCGCCTGTCAACGGCCCCATGCGGACGGCATCGGCCGATGTGCCGGGGACCGGGTCGACGTATGACCCCTCCAGCACCCTGCAGGACCGGCGCGGCTCCCCCAACCTACGCATCACCATCAAGGAGCCGACCACCAAGTCAGCGTCACTCACGCCCAAGCCCATCGACTCGCCGGTCGAGTCGGTGCCGTCGCTGCCCATGACCCCGTCAGATTCGTCGCCCCAGCTGGCGGCATCGACGTCGCTGGAGAGCAATGACCACGACATCAACACGCCGCTGTCTGGCAAGAGTGAGGGGCGTGCTATGAGGATGGAGGAGCGGCGGGATGAGGGCGGGATGGGCAGCGGGGTGGGTGGGGCGGGGGAGGTGAAGAGGAAGGCCGTTCCGACGCGATTCACGGCGTCCATCGACTGGCAGTTCTTCGAGCCACTCGAGAAATTTAAGGTACGTCTGTGCTGGATGGGGGATGGCTGGCTGGGTGGGTGGCTGGGTGGGCGACAGCGCCTCACGGGGCGTGCGTTCATTGCGTTTGTGCTGTGCTGTGGCCGTGTGTGTGTGAGGTGTGTGGGTATGAGATAATGCCGCTGCCTGTCTGGCACGGCAAGGACTACATCTGCTATGGCTTCGAGTTCGGCGAAAAGGTACACACACCACGTGTTGAGGCCATCCATCCATCCCTCCATCGCTTGCCGTGTTCAGGAGCGTTTCGTCTATCTGTCTGACGTGTCTGCTGTACCTGAGGCGACCATGGCCTACCTCAAGGGGGGCCCACGCATCGCCACGCTGGTCCTCGACGCCCTCTTCAAGGACAAGACCCACCCCACACATTTCAGCCTCGTGAGCCGACCAAAGAAGGAATTATGCATCTAGCCAGCCACTGGGGAGGGAGCCGTGGGGAGGGTGTGTGTGTGTGTGTGGTGTGCAGGTGCAAGCGTGTGATTTGATCCGGCAGCTGCGGCCCAAGCAGACCTTCCTGACAGGGATGTGTCACGACTTCGACTACCCCCACGACAACCCTACCATCAAAGCCACCATGGTCAGCTGACAAGGCAACAGACAGACGAACGAGTCGTCACTGCAAAGGGCTGCGCGCGTGTGTGTGTGTGTGTGTGTGATGCCGCATCAGAAATCTGAGGGTCTGCACGTGGAGATGGGCTTCGACGGCCTCTGCATCCCTCTCAGCTGATGAGCCAGCCGCCCGGGCCGTGTCGCGGGATAGTTGATTGAGATGCTGGGTGGCTTCACTGATTGATGTTTATGGGGCGTTTTGTCGGTGAGGGGGTCGACTTGACTTTGGTGTGGGGAATGGGATGGCTATTGTTGACTGACGGGGTCCGGTCCACTCATTCCATCCATAGTTTGTGGTTCGTGTGTGTATGGGGTCATCGGTACGTGGTTTACACACACCCGTACAGCGAGTCAGACTTTTTCTTGGCCCGCATCCATCCATCCATCCATCCAGATTTGGCCGCCCATTTCCGCGCATCCACCCCCTGGAGGCAGATGTGGTGTTTGTTTGTCGTACTCGTGGCTCATCCCTTGTGTGTGTGGGTCTGTGTGCTGACTTGAGGGGGTCCGCTTGGCACTGGTTTGGGAACCCCTTGGTGATGTTGGGCGCTGGTGGCACACGCACACGCCAAGAGCTTGACGTCGTCGAGGGGAATCCGAAGCACTGGCAAGAGGACTGACTCATCGCAATGATGAGTGAGTGCAGCAGCCAGCTGGGGTGTTCGCTGTGCTGCAGTGTGTTGTGTTGTGTTGTGTGAGTGTTTGAGAGGGACGCCTGACAGGACAGGACAGGGCCGGCCAGGGCCGATCAGTGTAGTGCTCCTTTCTGGTGCTGCGAGAGAGAGAGAGAGGGAGTGCCAGAGAGTGCCAGAGAGTGAGGGAGGGAGTGGCGTGACAATGATGTGACGACCATGCAGACAGACAGAAAGGTGATCTCGGGAAGTGATGCCTGTGTGTTTGTTTGTGGAGGGAGGGATGGACACATTTGACGGCATGCATGTATGGTATGAACAAAGACAAGACACATGGAAAGAGGTCCTCCCGTCGGCCGACCGACCGTCCCTACTAGTTAGCGTCTCCCGTCTAGATCTACACCTACGTCTCAGCATTCTACCACACCACCTCACATCGCCTTGATCGATCCACCACCAAACCACACCACACCACACACTCTCACATGCGGCCGACTCTCTACCTACCTATCGTCCTGCGTCGTCCTCTCCCGCCGCGACCTCTTAATGCCTCTGAAGGAGTCAGCCACTGGCTGTCATCTGGCGGTGGGGATGGAGGTGGGGGTGGAGGTGGGGACGAGGGAGGGGATGGTGCGCTGTTGCTGTGGTTGGCCCGGTTGGTCAGCTGCAGCTCCAGTCTGGCGGGGCCGTCCTGGTGGATGGACAGCCGCGGCTCCGCTGCACAGATCTGCTCCAGCTCACGGCGACGGAAACACCCATTCAGGTCTGAGAGGACACACGACGGGCACAGCATCCATCCATCGAACACGGGCAACGAACGGCCTTTTATGCATGCGCACGTGAGATGGGCAGGTTGCCGGACTGGGTGGGCACCAGGAGGCCTCTGACGGCGCATGCGTCTTTGATGAAGGGCTGCATGTGCTGCGAATGGACGAGCCGACGCAGGACCCTCTCGTCGCCGTTGAGCTGATGGATCGGCACGCGCCCTGCAGCGCAGCGCAGCGCACGCACAGACACATATGTGGTGGTCTGTGGTGTGGGTGGTGTTGTTCGGTGTGTGGTCGTCTTGTACCCATGCCGGATCTGATGAGACCGTCCGCCAGCTCCATGCCCATACGCCTCGCCGCACCCGCCACGACACCCACGCCGCCGTCATGACCACCAGGGCCCACACCGTTGGGCTGCATGCTGGGGCCGCCTTGGGCCATCCCTCCCCCTCCCCCTCCCCTACCACCTCCCCCGCCACCTCGGCCACGATCGGACGGGCCGGAAGGAGCAGTTTTCCGGCCGCCCCTGCTGCCCCCTCCTCTCCGGCCGCTGTCTGGCTGCTCCAGGCCGAGGAGCTCCAAGATGGCCCGCCGGTCGTTCTTCTTGTCAAAGGGCTTGAATATGAGCTGCAGGTCAGGGACGGACCGCACCGTTGCGAAGAGGGCGTATGCGCGGCGGAACTCCAGCGACAGCCGCTCGTGAGCCGAGAAACGACTGGCGCCTGACAAATAGACAAATAGATAGCCACGCACACACAGATGTCTGCCAGACATCCGGTTGTGTTGTGTTGTGTTTGTGTGGGCGTACTTACTGAGTACGCGATCCTTGTCGAATGGATCCTCAATGGCCAGGCCGAGCGACACTGAGAGCCCCTCGATGTTGCGCTCCGCCACGACCTGCTCCAGCTCTTGCTCCTCAGCACCCTCACCCTCACCCTCGCCATCACCATCACCGCCGCCATCACCACCACCCTCACCCTCCACTGGCCACCCCTGCTCCTGCGTGTAAAGGTAAGGGCCATTCTCGTCACTGTCGTGCTGGTACGCGTCTGCGTCAGCTGCCGCTGGTGGGTCGGGGTCTGGTGCGAGGTGTGCTGCTGTGGGCGGCTGCTGCTGCTGCTTCTGGTAGGAGGTGAAGTACTTGGTCTTGCGTATCTTCTCGGGGTAGCGCTTGATGGAGATCAGATTGTGGAATAGCGGATACTCGTAGCTGACCACACCACCACACCACACCACACCACACACAGGAACGATAGAGAGCATGCACACGCACCACGGCCCGCCCCTCTCCCCTCCCTCTCCCCTCCGCCCCTCAATTCTTCTGTCTGACCTGTAGAAGCGGACGAACTTGTATAAGAGCAGCAGCAGGGAATCGTCGTTGGCGGCCTTCATCCCAAAGGCCTCCCGCCAGGCGTTGCCCCGCGGCTCCAGGATGCTCCGCTTCAGCTGACGCAGAGGCCTTACGGGATCGCTGAGGGCCGTGGGCGTGCCGTCGTGGTTGAAGTCCCGCGGCGAGCGGTCGTCGTTGAGGAGTGGTTGTGTGTTGGGTCCGTCGGTGGGGTGGACGAAGAATACGTCGTGGGTGTCCTGGTCCACCATGGTCTGGGGGAGGGGGTGGGCGTGGACTGACGGGGGCGGGCACTGCAGATTGGGCAGAATGCCTACAGACATGTGCCAGCAGAAAGAAAGAACCACACAGCAGACAGGGAGGGACGGAGGGAGGGAGGGAGGGAGGGAGGGGGTCGTGTGTGCATCTGTCTGTCGTCGTTGTCTTGTGCAGTGGCAGTGGCTGGCTGGTCCTGTTTACCGAGGTGTTGGAGGAAGAATATGGTCAGGAGTACCCATGAGTACGACGACAAGGTGCCCGTGCGGGGGTCGGCGATGCCGCGCGCCTTGGCCCACAGCTTCACGGCCAACCCTGCCACACACCACACACACGCACACACGCCCACAGACAAGAACACAAGAACACAAAGCCAACAATCAGCCCAGCCCGGCTTGGACGTCCTCTTTTCTCTCTCTCCGTGTGCCCCACCCAATGCTGCAGCGCGAGGGTCCAGCTCTGCGTACGCCCTGAGAGGGGGAGGGAGGAACCATACACACACACACACAGACATCACACGATGCCTGCCTCCCTCCCTCCCTCCGTCCGTCCCCAGGAACCAACCGTAGTAGTCGGCTGTTGTGGATGTGGGCCCGACGGAGATGTCCACCTTGACCTCCCGACCACCAGCCTCACCGCCATTGCCACTGCCACCGCCATTGCCATTGGCGTCGGGCTGCTTGAGTGTGCAGGTGAGGATGGGCACCCGGGCGGTCTCGATGGCCTGCACCGTGAAGCCCACCTCCCGCAGCGGCTGCATCAGCTCACGTATCGCTATGATGGCCGACTCCTTGTCGACAGCTGTCGACAGAGGCACCAACACGTCCAAATCTGCAGACACACAGACATGGATAGATTAGCCAACGCAACGCATATATCGGTGGGTGCAGGTGTGTGGTGTGGTTGCGTCACCCCACCTACCTGACACGGACAGCGCGAAGCCGCTCACAGCGCTGCCAAAGAGGAGCCCCGGCACGCCGTACTTCGCCTTCAACACACCGGACACTGCACACACACACACACACACACACACGCATTCACGGCCGCCTCAGCAACAGACACACAGACGAACAATGCCACCACAAGCCACCACCGGCCGTGCTGTGTAGCCTACCCTTTTCGTACGCCATGACGAGTAGGTCTACTCGCTCTGGTGTGGGAACGGCTTGCTGCACCAGCGACCAGAGCCAGCCGTTGGGGTGGGTGGGGGGCGGGGGCGACGGGTTCGACATGAACAGCGATGCGGGCGGGGTGGGCAGGGCCAGCACTCTATCCTCCACGAGGAAGTAGGTCGCCTGATGCAGACACACAGAATGGCTTTGTTTGCGTGTGTTTTGGGGTGGGTGTGGCACCTGACCTGGTCGTGTCTGCAGCGGTGCATATAGGCGGTGCGTTTCTTCTTGACGAGCTGGTCGATGGCATCCGCCAGCGCAAGCCTCTCCTCGCCGCTCTCTCTCTTCCACAGGCCCTCATGCACCAGCAGCACATCTACCAACCTAAACACACACACGCACACGCACACACACACACACACACACATGGAGCAGTGGGTATATAGGTCTGCCTGCGAGCGTACCGCGCCACTTCGCTGCGTTTGTCCTACGTCATCCATGGCTGCGCCACCTCTCGCGGCAGCCGTGCGATGAGCGCCAGCACCTTCGTCAGCGACTCTCGCACAAGCTGCACGGAAAGGCCCTTCCCTCACACATGTGTGTCTGCGGCCGTCCCTCACCGTTGCGCCGAATCCTTCATCGTCATGAAAGCACTGAAACCGCCGTCCAGCCACCAGCCGCAGCACGAAGCTCATCGCGTGGATGCCGTCAGGCGCCCTCTCCAGGTCTCGCAGGCCCTTGCGAAACGCTCGGATGGCGTCCTGCTGTCGGTCCTGCGAGTGGAGGCTGGGGTACATCTGGATGTCCGCCAGAACGGCCAGTGTCTGCGGGCTGCATTTGGTCAGAGGATCCACAGACTGCTGCGACTTCGCCATGGCACACACACACTCTCAGCAGGGCCGACGACGGAACTCTTTCGTCGCCGCGTCCTCTGCTATGATTGTCGAACCCCTCGCAAATGCGAGCTCAGTTGTGCCTGAGCGAGAGCTGCAGCGGTGCCTGGTGTAGATCCAGGTGTTTCGGCGTCGAAGAATGGTGGAGCGGTTCCCTTGGAGTGACAAGGGCCTGCTGCCCGTCCTCCTCGCAGCCATCCTATCATCCGTCAGCAGTCTGACGTGGTCTGTCAATGGAGTGTCGTCCCCATCCTTGAGTGCGCCATCGCCCATGGCCTTTCTGAGCGGCGCTTCCCCTGCTGCTGGCGGCCGGCCATTTCGGAGGCGAAGGGTGAGCCTCACACGCAACGCAACGCAACGCAAGGAGGCCACTGATGTGTGTGTGTTTGTTTGTTTGTTTGTTTCCGTGTGTGTGTTGTGCCAGCGTGTGATTGTGATGGCGAGGGACAGCCGCAGCGCCCAGAGCAGGATGATCAGGCGGCGCAAGAAGGGCATCAGACGGCTGGATGAGCAGCCCCCGGCGGACACCGCACAGCCAGAAAGGAACCAAGGTATCCAGCAACAGTCTCCCCCAGAAGCAGCATCGCCACCGACAGCTCCCCCACCCCGTGCACCGCCCGCCGCTGCTCCTCCCTCCCCCTCACCCTCTCCCCGTCTGCCGACCACCCTCACCCCAGAGGAGCAGGAACTCATGGCCGACACATCCACCACACAGACAGCCGATGGCTCCCAGAAGCTCAAGATCTCCAGCACCCTCAAGAAGTACGGCCAGCAGCCGACTCCCGACGTGGCGGGCGCCTCGTTCGACGAGATTTTTGCGCCGATATCTGCCAAGGGTCTTGGGCGTGAGAGTTTGTTCACCACTGACGACACGCAGATCCCTGAGCTGGAGGAGGTCTTTGAGGAGGCCGCCAGGCGGAAGCTGCAGCAGGAGAAGCGCGCCGATATCAACGCTGCAAAGGCGGTGGGTGCACTTGTTTCTCTCTGTGTGTGTGTGTGTGTCATGGGTGTCATGATGATGTGGTGTGTCAGAGGGAGAAGATTCGCCGTTCTGACACTGAGCGCATCCGCGAGGAGCTGTTGTACGACCCCTTCGCCGACACGCAGTTCGAGCGGTTCGTGGAGGACCGCAAACCGGTCGACGCTGTCGGCGCCGTATTCGGCGAGGGCCTGGCGCCCGCACAGCCATTCCTGGGCTTCATCCCCACGTCATTCTTGCAGACAGGTCGGTAATGGTGGGGTGGGGGGGTGTTCAGGTGTCTGTGCGTCTGTGTGTGTGGATGGATGGATGGATGTGTGTGTGTGCAGGTCATTTGGTGCTGCTCTTTGTTGTCGCGTTGTGTGGATTGGTGGAGGACCCCGGCAACCCCCTGACCAATCTGCCGCTGCCCATCAGGAACTTCTTCGTCACTGTGAGTGACGACACTGTCGCCACACATGACACACACACACACACACACACACATCCGCCCTCCAGCCATCGACATGTCTTACCATGTGTGTCTTTCAGGGTTTGGGTCTTGTGTTTGCGGTGAATGTGGTGCTGTCGGCGCTGTCAATCTCCCCCGCCATAGCGCGGAAGCAGCCGTGGTACTTCTGGGCCTTCAAGACACTCCTGCTTGGCGGACTGGCGTACGATGAACTCATGCAGGTCGGCAGACAGACCAGGCACATGACATCGATGAGACGGACGGCACTTACACGCCATCCATTTGTGTGTGGGCGTGGGTGTGTGTGGTGTCAGATCCCGCCCTTTGACGAAGACCCATCGAAGCGGCCTCCCCCGCAGCCATCTAACCGCTTCACGGAGGCATCCAGGGCCAGAGCGGCCGACAGGGGCGACGTACAGGCCGTTGCAATGGCGCCACCGCCCACATCTGCCGGCCCCCCTGCTGGTGCTGGTGCTGGTGCAGGGAGGGCGGGTGTGGGCAGGGGCAGCGGGAAGGCCACCACTACGATCCGCAGGAGGCGGAGGAAGGTGCCCTCGAATAAGGGGACATAGCCTAGCCATGGGCATGGGCGGCGTGGAACTAAGGGAATTTTGCGACCGAGTTTGATTGATATGTTGGGCGGCTCACTCACTCAGTGGCTGGCAAGTGTGGCTGTGAGTGCTGGATGGAGTAGGGGTGTTTCTCGGACGTGAGGAGGAAGGACCATGACTGAGAGTGGTGTGTGTGGGGGGGGTTGTGTGGCTGAATCAAGTCACAAGATGTGTGGATGGATCCGTTGGCAACAGGTGCACTGACGCTCATAGACACACACATAAATGAGGAAGGCAATCCGACACATGCAGCGAATGTCTGACACATCTACACACACAAACAGACAACCCTCCCTCCCAGTACGCACCAGTTGCGCGTAGCGTCAAGTATGCAACCAGACACGCGAAAAGGCAGACAGACAAGACATGCAGACAGGCAGGCACTCCAGAGTGAATTGCGAGTCTCCTCGACACACGACAAGCCCACCCCCCTGCAGCAGCAGCCGTCGTTCATTCTTCTTCCCTCTTTGTCTTCTTCAGCTCGTTCGCCATCTTCTTGATCTGTTTGCATATCGACCCGGCAATATGGACACTGTAGTTATATTCACAGTCGCCCTGCAGGCACCAGACAAGAAAGACATGGACAGACAATGGCAGGCAGAGCCACCGACCTGTAGTCAGTCGGTGTCTGTCTCCACTACTTGACTTACTGCCGACAAGATGCCGCGGACGATGTTGCCTGCGACGTGACACGAGCCGCTCTGCCCGGGGTAGGCGTCACATTTGGTGGCGGGGTAGAGGTTCTTGCAGCCCTTCTTGAGGGAGCACTTCTCGGGTTTCGCACTCGCACTTATGGGTGGGTAATTGCCAAGACAAAGAGACACACACACACAGAGAGAGAGAGAGACATACGCAGAACACCCGACACGTGTGTGTGTGTTGCCGGCCCTTACAGGTGTGTCCACATTGACGGCCAGTTCTTGCACTGAACGAGCAAGGGAGGGAGGGATATATGTGTGTGTGTGCGCGTGTTGGTGTGTGTGGTGCGCACGTCGCCTGGGTATCCACACAAGTCTGTCTTCCACACACTGCTCGCACACGGTGACAGACAGACAGACAAGCCAGACAGACACACAGCACACACAGACACGTGTGTTAGGAAGCAGCACAAGACGCCACACGATGTGCCTTACCTACCCCTTTCCACAGCCTTGGCTGCATTTTTTGGGCAGGTTAAAGTGTCCCAAGTGCTTCCCGACGGCCTGGCACTTCTTGCACCTGGGTCTCAGCTCCAGTGCACAAAAGTCGTTCTTCTGCAACCAACCAAGGCAAGGCAAGGCACCGTTCGTGTCGTGTGTGTGTATGTCGCTGTGTCTGTGTGCATCTGAGTAATTGTGACTCCTCCCTCCCTCCCTCTCTCCCTCGCCGCCCTCCTCACCCCAATGGAGGGGTCCCTGAAGTAGTCATTGTTCACTGCCAACGATATGACCCGTGCCTTCCCGTAACCTTTGCTCCCCTGAACTCCAAGAGACAGACAGACAAGACAGACAGACAGACAGGGAGGGAGGGAGGGAGCGGTGCAATTGTCCGTCCGCCCAGCGAGCCATAGAGCTGCGTACGTACGTAGAATTTGTCTCGTCCCGGCTGGCAGTAGCGCGCATCCTGCCAGCCGACGTAAGACTTGCAGCAGTGGCCCGCCGTCAGGGCCACCTTGTCGCTGATGAGCTGCGCCGTGCACCCCACGTTGCCCACAAAGGCGGTGTACTTGAAGGGCTTCTTGCGCAGCTGCCACTTGGACACCTTCTTGCGGCTCTCCTTGTCGCAACAGAACCGACAGTGTTGCGCCTTCTCGCCCTGCTCGTCACTTTCAACATCACCGCCAGCGCCTCCTGTCATGTCGGGCATCAGGGCGCTCTTCTTGTCCCGCACACACACACGCTGCGCGCTTGGCTGCTTCTCGACCAGGCCATTCTCCTCCTCTGTCTCGGCCATGTCCTCTTCTTCAAGGCCTCCGTCACCCGCCACCACGTCGATATCGATGTCATCGATGTCATTGGTGTCATCGACGTCATCGATGTCATCAAGATCTTCTTCCTCCGTCTCGGTGTCCAGCCCGTGGGTCTCCAAGTAAACGTCCAATTGGTCCATGTCCAGGGCCTCGCGTGACACATAGGTGTCCCCTGTCCACGGATTGGCCCGCACCCAGCGGAACCGAACGGGCTTCTTCTGCTTGGCCTTGATCTCATCACGCTCTCGCTTCATCGCGATGAGCGTCTCGTTGGCCCAGGGAAGAGGCATCGGCCGCAACAGGTCCTCCTCCTCGCTACCACTGCTGCTGTCGATGTCGGAAGGAGCGTCCTTCTGCCGCGATTTTCCATGCTTGATTACCTCCATTCGGCCAATGAAGACGAAACCGTCGTCTCTGTACCGATTCACCACACCGGCGACAGAGCCGTCGAAGTCCTCTTCGTCCGTGATGGGGTCGCCATCGTCACCAGCGGTGTTGTCCTTGAAGCTGGCGGGCGAATCCAGCTTCTCCTCCGCCCTCACCGTTACAACGCCATCTTCATCATCGTCACTCTCACAGGATCCCACCCCGTGGATCTGGCTGCCTTGGCAGAGGCAAAGGCACGCACTCGCATATGTGATGCCGTCCTCGCCGCACACGGGGCTCTCGTCGGTGGCCACCTTCACGGGGTCATCTTCCTCTGACTCTGCTGCTAAGGTTTCCTCCTGTCCCTCTTCGGCCGTGTCTGCGAGGCTGCGTGTGTAAGCTGCCTGGGCCACCGTGTTTTCCTCCTGTTGAAGGTCGGGTAAGGAGGTGAAGCTCTGGCAATCACACAGCTGGCTGGCCTTGGGCGGAGGCCCCTTGACCCTCCATCTCTGCAGCATAGCACAGCGGGAGCAGACAATCACAACATTCATGCGGCCGGGGATTTCTCGTACATACCCTGCTGGTTATTGGGAAAGGGGCAGCGGCGGCGATGCAGCATTTGAGCAGAACAAATGCTGCGAGATGACGGTCCCTCAGCACGGGAAAAGGCACCATCTGCGGGCGGACGAAAAAATACGAAGGCCGGACCACTATTTCTGTCTGGGAAAGAAATAGGCTCACGTGCATCGGCTGCACGTCGGGTGTGCGTTGTGTGTGTTGTGTGTGTTGCTGTCGTGTGTGGGGCAGAGTCAGCCGGCCGAGTTCCTGTCCGGCCGTTAGGGTAATATCCAAAAGACAGGCGGACCGGCCAGCGCAGCAAGCCCTTCAAGGATAAAGGTGGGCATCACCAGGCGGCTCTGACGAGAGGAAGAGCCACTGAGTTCTCCCTGCCTGCGAATTGCTTTCCTCCGCAGGTTGCCCACGCAGGGCGAGCAAGAAGGAGGTGGCCAAACAGAGGTGCCCCGCAATCAGATATGGCGTCAACGAAGGTCTCAGTGACGACTGGAATGGCCACGAAGCGACCAGCCGAACAACGCCCTCTCTACGCACCCGAGGAAACGTGGCGCCGCGATTGTCTGTCCAGGGCAGGCTCCAAGTACCATGTCGTCAAGGGGGGCTCTGCCCTCTGCTCGCGGCTCTACTACACACTGACCTACTGGTGCTTCTGCTTCGTGAGGCCGCTACTCGACGAGGTGCGCACAAGGCCACTGACGGCCGACGTGCTGCCCCCTCCGCCCAAGGAGATGAAGTGCCACAGAAATGCTCGCGACCTCAGGGAGAGCAGGAGCAGGGACCAGGGGCTCATGAGCACCCTGCTGGTCCTGAGGAGGTGGCCTTTGGTCAACCTGACCCTCTGGGCGGCGCTGCACCGGGCGTGTCTGACCTCCTTGCCCTTCCTGCTGTCGCTGAGTCTACAGAACGACGACCCGACGGACGCCATGTCGATGGGCGGAGTGGGGCAGGGCTGTCTGCTCTTCCTCGCCATGTCGCTGCTCGCCACCTTCAGCAACGGCGTCTACCTCCACCTGGGACACAGAGAGGCTCTGCGCGCCAAGGGGGCGCTGGCAGGGATGGTTTTCGATGAGGCACTGAGGCAGCCGCTGAGCTACACCAAGACGCCTGACAGCGACAAGCTTAAGGACGAGGGCACCCTGGACGTGCTCAACTTGATCAGCTCCGACTGCGAGAAGGTCGGCATGGCGCTCTTCCAGCTGCCGACGATCGGCCTAGTGCCGCTGCAGATGGGCGTGCTGATAGTGGCGCTGGCGTACCAGATCGGCTGGGGCGTCGTGGGTGGGCTGGGGGTGCTGGTCCTGCTCTTTGTGGCGATTGGGACGGTGCTGACGGTGGGCATCAAGGTGTCCAAGAGGGGCCAGCGGTTCGCCGATGAGCGGCTGAGGAGGATGGAGGAGATCTTGCAGAACATACTGGCCATCAAAATACACGGTAGGGTAGGTAGGAAGGGGTGCGTGTGTGTGAGTGTGAGTGTGCGTGCGCTGGTGTGCTGCAGCTTGGGAAGGAGGCTTCGTCAAGCTGCTCGACCAGCTCAGGTGCCTGCCAGACGAATCATGTCGTCCGTGCGCTATCCTGTCCTGCCACACACCTTGTGCGTCTTGTGTGGCTGCGTGGTTGTGTGCGGCCCAGAGAGAAGGAGATATGGTGTCTGGTGTACGCCCGTGTGCTGTATTCCATTCTCCTGTGGTCCTTCACCATGACCCCGCCACTCGTCACTCTCGCCGCAACGGGTAAATCAATCACTGTAGTACGAAGAGACACAAGACATCAGCACCAGCACACCAACCATACCATCTGTGTGTGTGTGGGTGTGTGTGCCTGCAGGTATGTATGTCTTGACGGGCCGCGATCTGACCATCGTGCGGGCGATGAGCGCTCTGGCGCTCTTCAAGGCCCTCCAGCTGCCCCTGCTCAACCTGCCCGAAGCCATCCAAGCCCTCAGTGAGCCCACTCACACACCACTCACAAAGGACAGAAAGCAGCCCGGGCTGCTGTCTCGGTGTCTCAGGCACCGGCATTGCTGCTTGCAAGCGCATCGAGGCCTACAGCCGCCAGGCCGCACCCGCAAGGGCACTCCCCTCCCGCCCATCCCAATCAGACAGCCCTGCCCCCCAGCAGCAGCAGCAGCAGCAGGCGGCCCCCAAGGACACACCCATCGTGTGCATCGACAACGTCTCATTCACACGATCATCCACCAGCCTCTCGTCAATGCCCAGCTTCTCGACAAGAGCCGGCACCGAGAGGGGGGATTACACAGCGGCCAATGTTGCTGCTGCTGCTGCTGCTGCTGCTCCTGACGTGTGTCTGTGGGATGTGGGTGTGCACGTGGGCAGAGGCGCGCTGGTGGGGGTGGTGGGGCCGGTGGGCAGCGGCAAGTCCACCCTGCTGCAGGCCATGCTCGACGAGCTGACCCCGATGGGCGAGCAGACGTCGCCACCCATCCTCGCCCCGCACACGGCGTACCTGCCCCAGCCGCCATGGCTGCAGTCGGCCTCTCTGCAGACCAACATCCTGTGCGGCCGCCCTTTGCAGACGGCCTTCTACGAGAGCGTGCTTGACGCGTGCTGCCTGGTGCCGGATTTGGAGAGGCTGCCTGACGGCGATCAGACTCGTGTGGGGCGGAAAGGGGTGACACTGAGTGGGGGCCAGCAGCAGAGGGTGGCGCTGGCGCAGGCCGTGTATTCCAAGGCGGAGGTGGTGCTCATGGACGACCCTTTCTCTGCGCTCGGTCCGGACAGCAAGCAACGACCACACACAGGGAGGATGTGTGTGTCTGTCTCCCTCTGTGTGTCTCTCACTGTGTGTGGACCGTCAGATTTGGACGTGGCAAGGGCGATATGGTCTCGCTGTGTGAAGGGTCTGTTGAGCGACCGGACGCGCATCTTCGTGACGCAGCAGCTGTGGATGCTCAACCAGTGCGACCACGTCATCGTCATGGACCAGGGGCGCATTGTCTCACAGGGGCCCTACACACAGGTCGCCACCAGCACAGTCTTCCAGGCACTGCTCGGCGCATCCTCCTCCTCCTCCACCAGCCCGCCGCTGCCCATCACCGACCCCTCTATGGCCGCCCCCACGCACACAGCGTCAGCACTCTCCCTCCCCTTCACCGACCAGCCCGCCACACCGACTGCTCTCTCTACTTCCAGCCTGCGCCAGCGCGCAGCCGCCACCCCCACCCCGCAGCACGGCAGTACGGAAGAGCCGTCCCTCCGCATATCGGTGAGAACTGACGACCAAGATCGGGACGACGAGACAGACACGAGCACGGCCGGGGGCGATGGCGATGACGGCGACAATGAGAGAGAGAGGGAGAGGGACTATGACCTGTGTGGGGTGGAGAGGGGCGACGAGGGGAAGGAGGCGCGTGTGGTGGAGAGCTATGTGCCGCATCTGCGGGTGATGGGCGGGTTTGGGGTGTGGGGCAGCGTCATCGTGTTGGGGGTGCTGGCGCAGGCCGCCCTCGTGGCGTCTGACTACTTCCTCGCCATATGGAGCCACCAGGAGCAGACCAGTGACAGCGTCACGGCATTTCACCCTTTTCAAGCATACGGTCAGCCACATGCGCAACACGCACACCACACACAATATCCCATATCTGCTGCGACACACACAGGATGGTGCATCCTTCTGGCCGGTCTGATGATGACCTTCCGCGCCCTGGCCTTCGCCTACGGCTGTCGGCTGGCGTCGACCTTCTACCACCACCACCTCAGCCGCGTCATAACGGGCGCCAAGATGGCCTTCTTCGACCACACTCCGTCGGGCCGCATCCTGAGCCGCTTCTGCACCGACCTCGGCCACGTCGACGGGGGCATCCCCCATATGCTGGAGGCGCTGAGCCTGCTCGTGTTCACCATACTCGGGTAGGGTGGGTGGGGGCAGGGTGGCATGCATGACACACGTGGCACTGGGAATGGAAACGTGTGTGTTGTGGTGTGTTGTGTGCTGTGGATTGGCTTGTGGGTTGTTGCAGGAATCTGTTTGGCGTGGCGTTTGTGGCGCCGTCGTTCCTGGCGGCCATTGTGGTGGCGGCCGCACTCTTCTGGTAGTGGGGGCCCACACGCACACACAGACGTGAAGCAAGAGAGTCTCACGCTCTCGTCTGTGTGTGTGCATGGTGCTATCAGGCGCATCAAGAACGTTTGCTACAGGTGGGGTGGGTGGGGGCTGGTGGTGGATTGATGTGCCCCGCTCAATGCATTGACAGATTGTCTGTCTGTGTCTCTGTTTGTTTTGGTTGACAGGGGTGCGTGTCAGCTGCAGCGGCTAGACGCCTCGAGCAGGGCACCCATCCTGACCCTTGTCGAAGAAGCCTTCCAGGTACAATATACACATGCCTCTAATTCACACACCCCACCACAGACACACGTTCTTTCTTTGCTTCCTTTGGTGTGTGGTGTGCAGGGTCGTGTGTGCATCCGAGCGATGGGCAAGGGCGGCATGCAGTGGTTCACACAGCGCTTCTCCCGAGCTGTCGACCTCAACCTCGCCGCACACTACCACCTCAGAACGGTCAGTCCGTGTGTTGGCTCTCAGATGCTATGCTCACCGACCCACCCACCCCATACATGGCCTCCGTGTCGTGTGTGTGCTCAGGTGTTCCGGTGGGCAGTGCTGCGTCTGGAGACGACCAATGCCATGCTGACGTCGCTGGCGGTGTTTGCCCTCTACGCCACCACCGCCGGATGGACGAGCGGACTGCAGCAAATCGACGGCACAAGGCGGGCTTACACCGTTCCAACCCCCCCCTCCCCCCCCTCCACACACACACACAGACAAAACAGAATGTGGTCCTTGTGATGCTGGATGCCTATCTGCGTGTTCAGTGGTGTGCACGACTCGGCATTGTTCGGCGTGGGACTCAACTGGGCCATTGCCAGCGGTGAGGACGACGAGAAAGGCACCGTCCGTCACAATGACCTGCGTGGATGAATGGAATGGACGCCTGCCTTCCCTGTGTGTGTATTGCGTATGGTCAGCTGGTTATGTGGGGTTCCTGGTGTTTGTGGTGACCGACCTGGAGTCCAAAATGACGTCGGTCGACAGAATCAAGTAACCACACACACACACACTCCACTCCCAGCCACACACATCACCACCCACCCTGTCTGCCCCTTTGCTGCCCTCACACCCCACCCAGAGATTACATCGACAACGTGCCCACCGAGCCCTCCGAGGCCCCCTCCCACCCCCCCGACGCATGGCCCGACCTCGGACAAATCAGCTACCAGGACCTCACCGTTGCCTACAAGAGCAAATCAGACGACGACGACCACCACCACCAGCAGGGGCCAGGCGGGGAGGGTGAGGGTGGCGTGTGTGTGGCACTGAGGAATGTGACTGTCGATGTGGCTGGGGGCAGCAGGGTGGGGCTGGTCGGCAGGACGGGAAGCGGCAAGACCTCACTCGTCATGGCGCTGTGAGCAGTGAAGTGACGGCACACACCGAAATGGGAGACGTGATGTGTGTGTGTGTGTGCAGGTATCGATTGTATGACGAAGCGACCCAGGGTCAGATCACTTTGGACAACTACCCCCTCCACTCCATCCCTCTCGCCCGGCTGCGCGCCTCGCTGGCCCTGCTGCCGCAACACGCTGCCCTCTTCAACCACACTCTCAGGTACGGTACCCCACACGCCCTTCCTTCCAACCAACACACCACGATGATGTATGTGTGTGTTTGTCAGGTTCAACCTGGACCCTTGTGGTCGTGCGAGCGACGATGAGCTGGTGGGCATCATCAAGCGGCTGGGGCTGGGGCGTCTGGAGCTGCTCGGCAGCGCTGACGGCAGGAGCGCCACAGCCATGCTGGACGCTACTATCGAGCCGCAGGGAGGTCAGTGCAGTGCAGCCGCGCAGTGCATTGAGTTACACACAGAGGGAGGCTACACACAATGGCGTGTCTTGTGTCGTGTGTGTGTTGTGTGCGTCAGGCAATTTAAGTGGCGGTGAGCGCCAGTGGGTGGCGCTGGGGCGGCTGCTCATCGAGGCGCAGCGCGCACGAATCATCATACTCGACGAGTAAGGCCATGCACACGCAGCACAGGACACCACACCACAGCATAGCATTGGCCATATATGGCTCTCTCCTCCAGGCCCACAAGTCCCCTTGACAGCGGCACTGAAGCCATGATGGTCGCCCTCATCCGCGAGGTGGCTGTGGGCAGGACGCTGCTCGTCATCTCCCACAGACCCGACACAGTACAGGTGAAGCGATCGACCACACACAGAAGGAGGGAGACACGGAAGCATGTCTGTCTGTCTGTCTGCGTGTGTGTGTGCGCAGGCTCTGTGCGAGCGGCGCATCAAGCTGCAGGACGGCGTCATCGTCGAAGACGATGCGCAGCAGCAGCATGAGGGGGAGGGGGGAGGGGCGGCTGAAATAAATGCCGACTTGTGAATATTTACATCTCAGATGTTGCCATGCCACTACACGGTGTATCTAACTGAATGCATGTGTGTGTGTGTGTGCCTAGCTGTCTCTGTGGGCTGACTTTTACACACACATGACAGCGCATGGCAGGCACACACGCATTTACTTGTACAGAGCGGTGCGGTTGGGGCGTGTGTGCAGGGGGATGTGTAGCGTAGGTGGCTCGGCTGGCCTTTGTTCACTTCACTTCCGTCTCTGTGCTGTGTGTGTGTGTGTCTGAGGGGTGAGGGTGAGGAAGTGTTTATAAGTAAGTATGTCCGTTCGTGTAGTGCTTTGTTGTCAAGCTTCGGCGCACACATAAAATGTCGACTGACTCACACAGAGAGACAGACAAGGGGAGCACCGCATTGCGGGGCTCTGGGATGCACACCTATGTCGTAACACTCTATGTCAGTCACATCACACACACTCAGGCACGATAAATGCTATGCTCCAGCGCTCCCACACGCAGCTGTTCGTGTCGCTTTGCGTGTGTCAAGTCATGTATCATCCTCCCTCCTCAAACGAATGCGGGTCTCGCATCATCACATCGACTGCCCCACACCCACACCCACACCCATATACACATCACTCCCTCTCGACGTGGTTGTAGTCGGTGTACACCCACCGCCTCTCCAGCCCATGAAGCCGATAAGCGCCATACCCACACACACCCGACACAAGCAGGGGGACCCCCCACAGCGCAGCCCCGCCCATGCAGGACATCAGGAAGCGGCTCAGCAGGCCGCCGGGCGGGAAGAGGAAGGCCATGGCCGCCACTGACGTAAGGGCATCGAGACCAAGACCGATCGACAGGACGGTGGTGAGGGAGCGGAGCACCCTGGTGATGGCGTACCTGCAGGCAGCCACGAACATAAGACACTGACTGCCATGTGTGTGTGATGGGACTCCGTGTGTCTGTCTGTCTGTCTGCGCTTGCTTACGCTTTCCTGCAGATGGGGCAGTACTTGGTGTGAGACTCCCAACGGTCAAAGAGCTTTTTTCTGTCGGTCATGAGAGGCCCCAGCTGCCCGGTGCTGCCCTTCCATGAGGGCTTCCCGCCGCCGTCATTCATCAGCCACCGCCGGAAGGACCTCACCGCCGTGTCAGCGGGAGCCGGCATGTAATAGGCCCGGTCAAATTTCTCAAGACCTGTGCACACACAGGGTGTCGAAATGAGTGGAAGCAGGAGGGATTTGGTGGCTGTGTGCCTGTCGGCTGGTCGGTCAGCTGACTGACCATTTTCGTGTTCTCTGAGCCGCCGTTCTTGGTAGTGCACATGCATGTTGTCGCCATCCGTGACGGCCATGTTCTCAAGGTGGTCATCCCACCGCATCAGACTCTTTCTGCACACCACAGACAGACAGACAGACCGACAGGCATACGCAGCCATCCATCCATCCACGCTGGTCTGCCTACTCGGCTGGCTGACACATCCGTCCATCCAGTCACTCGTGGTGCTTACACGTTCCGCCATCTGGTCCCCGCACTCGCAACGAATCGCGTGATGATGTAGGATTGTCCGGGGGCCGATGGGACGGCATAGACCACCAGGTAGAACTTGTGGCCGTCCAGCATCCCGCTTTTAACGGGCTTGGTGATCTTGGGCGCCAGGCCTATCTTGGACAACAGCCTGACCACACATACACATGCGCCGTGCGTCGCCACGGCTGGCCTGACCTTGTTACCTGATGATGGGCCTCTTCTTCAGCACTCCGGCGAGCTGCGAAAAGTCGATCTGGTAGTACAGCAGGCAGGGAGGCCTGAAGTGGATGCGCGTCGTCAGGTTGGTGCCGAAGAGGTCTTGTATGGAGGTGACGGCGAAGCCAGCGTCGGTCAGGTTGTCCACCTTCATTCTAATCGGCCCGGCTCGGTTGCGGTTGCCCTGCGTGTGGAAGGACCACACACACAAGCCAACAGCCAGCATGAGCTAGCTGGTCGGTCCATGGAAGCACACCTGTATGCCGTGGTGAGCGAACGGCACGTGGGATGGATCCCCCACGTTTTCCACCTGCACCCCATGCACACGTGGATCGACACACTCGTCACGTCAATCACATCAGATGCGGGTCGGGTGCGTCATCCAGCGGGCCACTCACTCACAAGTGTGTCGTAGTTGTAGTTGAGCACCCGGAAGAAGAGGCCGTTGTCTTTGGTCTTGATCAGCTCGGGCACCGTGTCAAACTCAGCCACGGTCGCCGGCTCCACTTCCCTCGACGCTGCCCAGCCTTCACGCGTGCTGAACCAAGACACACCAACACGCATACCCAACTAGCATCCCCATCTCTGGGTGCTGCTCCGACGTGCCGACCTGTCAGGGAATATCCAGATTAGCGCGTGTGCCTCCGTGCACGGCACTGTCTGGAGGCACGCCCGCTTGTTCTTCCTGGCGGCCTCCTGCGCCTTGGCCTCCACTTGAGGGATCTTGGTGCACGCTCCTGTCCCATCGAACTCCCAGCCATGGTAGGTGCAGTGCAGCTTGCCGTCGTCGCTGATGCGGCCCTCAGACAGCGGCGCCAGGCGGTGCGGGCAAGCGTCCTTGGCCGCGGCGAACTTCTGCGTCGCCTCGTCCCACCACACCACGAAGTGCTCATTGAGTACGGTGAACTGACGCGGTTGCTTCTTGCCCAGATCACTTGCAATCGCCACGGGATACTGCACAAGACAAGACAAGACAAGACAGCGGTCGATTGGGTGTGTGAGCGGGAGCCGGTGCGGTTCATGCGTCTGCCCACCCACTGTCGCCACCAATCGAAGGTGCCGGCATCCTCCTTCTCCGAAGCCTCAGACGCCTGCAAGGCATCAATGAGCCAAGCAACAGGACTGGCCGCGTGGCTCATCCAGCCTGAGGGCGGATCATTGCTCACTGCTGGCGTGAATGACAGCTCGATGTTGTCGGTCCGAGGTGGCATTGTCTTGGCTGCCGGTGATGGCGCGGTCAGCACTGCAGACGGAAGAGCGGTGCGACGCGCTGATCTCCTTCCCCCTGAAGCACCGAATAGCCGGCCTGCAATGGAATCAACGTACAAACAAAATGAATGGCGACGGATGCACATCTTCTCGACCTGGCTGGGTTGCATGATAAGCAAGGCATCCTTGCAGAGCGAATGTCATGATCAGCAGCACTGCATTGCCGCAGACCACACGATGCTCCTTCATCTTCCCTGATATGGATGCTTGACAAAATCAACGGGACCTCTAGCGAGGACAAGCTCCCAATGCACGTAGAAGGAACAGATCTCAGGGGAAAAGGAAGAAGAGGCGAGGATGTGTTCGGTGGTAACGGGAGATTTAGGGTGCGCGCTCAGCTCTCAGCTCGCACGTGTAAACACAGACGACGGGACAAAACGACAAGGGAGGAAGGAGAGAAGGAAGGCGAGGACGAAGGTCGTGTGTCGTGTGTCGCAGGAACGAAGCTGCGTTGGTTTTTTGCGTTTCCCGCGGTTGTCACTCGGCTGTGTGTCGGCTGATGCTGGTGGTGTCACAGTGGTTGTGGCGCATCTGCTGCCGTGTGGCGTCATGGTGCTGGCGGCGACGCTCCTCCGAGTCCGATCAGCCAGAGCCGGCCACCCCGCAGCACCCCCTCACCCATCTCTTTGTCGGCGACGACCAGTCCTGTCTGCTCGACCTCAGCACCATCCTGCAGCTGAGGGCCACCGCGCGATGCTTCTCAGAGGCCTTGTCGTCTGCACAGCTGCGAAGCCGACTCCACACCTCGATCGCCCGCAGCGGCATCGACACTCAGCTGGTGCAGTTTAACGAGTCGCTGTGCGGGGGTACTGTGGTGGCGGCCCTGTGGATAGCTGAGGAGGGAGGGCAGTGGAACGATGGCACTGGCGACGTGCTGCGGCTGGCCGACCACTGCGGAGCCTGCACGCTGCCCGTTGTGCTGACTGCCGAAGACATCAACACACACGCCAACAAAACGGTCCGTAAGGCGCACTTCTGGCGTGCCCCACCCTTCTCTCTATGTCTGTGTGTGTGTGTGTGTGTCTGTTTAGGCGTATGTGTCGGTTCCCGTGTGATTGCTCAGCTCAAGATGGTCGGCCGCCACACCAACTTCGGCGACGGCGTGACGTTCCAGCTGTTTCAGCATGGCGACATGCTGCGGGCCCTCAAGGACGAGCCTGGCTTCGAGCTGACGCTTGACCCACTAGGCCTGCCTGCCGACC